TTAATTCTTTTAAATCAAGTTATTTTCGATAAAAATTATATAAGAATATTATTTAAAGTTATCGCACTTAAAGCAGCGACAAGTAAGAGACTATTATTAAAACATGTATTTTAATATAATTTGGTATTTAATAAGTATATTGTCACTTGGTTGCATCTTGGTCAATTGTAGTGATCAATGCTCCAAGAAAAGCGATTGTTTGCCCGATCATGTGTGTAGAAAAGGCCAGTGTATGTGCGACCAGGGATTAGTGCTAGATGGTGACACATTTTTATGTACACCATTTAATTGCCAGTCAAGTGGACTTGTATGCGACCCCACAAACAACGAGGTGTGCATAAATGTGCGTTGCTTTTGTAAAGTTAACTTTAGGCCCGATCCATCGGCAGGCAATTTGTGCGTCAAGTCGAACTCAACCTACAATACCAAGTGTACAGATGATGGTCAAGTGTGCGACCCCCTGACCGAGATGTGCTCAGAGGGGCGGTGTGTTTGCGCCTCCGGTTTTGAGTACTACTCGTTTGTTAAACGCTGCGAATCGTTGAGCTGTAAGAGGGCTGACGACTGTGCCGTATATGATAAACGCCGTACGTGTCAGTCGGGTAAGTGTGTGTGCGCTCAGGGATTTACTCATGATCTCGGAGGTAAACATGAGGGTAAATGTCTGGCCACGCCTACTGAACCCACCACTGTCCCAACCACAGCGCCCACCACTGAACGCACAACTGTTACCAGTCCGTCGCCGACTACCAGTGCCCACACAACCGCCCGTCCGTCGCATACATTTGGCAAACAGTGCGCAACCGGTGATGATTGCGATGAACACAACCAGCGCTGTGTCCACCAGTTATGCAACTGTAAGGCCGGACACGAGTTTGACGACCGCTACCAGACATGTCTGTCCCGTAACTGCACTAAAAAGTCGGTCGGGTTTTGCAGTCTATCCGACGACTCGCACCGGTATTGCAATACAAACGGCAGTTGTGTTTGCGATAGTGATTACGACGAGGACAGGGATGTCGACTATAAGTGCGTGAATAAGTCACGTCAGGCCACAAGTAATGTGTTGGTGTATATTCTGGTGCCAACACTACTAATACCGGTGCTATTTGTGGCCATATTCTGTCTTTACAAATACCGCAAAAATACTGTTCATTACTATGTATTGGTGTTCAAGCATTGGTTTCAATCTGTTGTTGAGTTTATTAAAAGTAAAATGTGATTGTACAACACTTTATGCTTAATTAGTGTGTTTTTAACCAAGATTATAAAATTACGCCAACATTCTTTGCGACCAATAGTTTTGACAGTTGAATTGTTGATTATACAATATTCATGTTTAATTAAATGTTACAGTTTCTTTTTAAAATTTAAAAATTACATAACTTGACTTCCAATTTTAAATATATTGGTAATTGAATACAATTCTTATTTTGACGGATTTAAATGCCATTACATTTATTATAATTCTATAAATTAAAATAAATATTAAAAATAAAAATAACATAAAATTTTTATTATAAAAGAATACTACTGTAATTTTGGTAGTTTTACAATAAATAAACCGCACCCTAACTATAACTCGCATTTAAAAAATTTTTCAATAGATAAACCGCGGATAATGCTTGGAATATTAGGGTAACTCATAATAAATAAATTGTTTTGGTAATTTTGAATATTAGTTATTAAATAATCAATTATACAGGGAACCGTTATACTACAGTAAATAATTAGTGATAAACAAGAATTGCTATTTAATGAGTTTATTATTAATAAACTATTAATTTATTATTAGTAATAAATTATTACACTTTATTTGAGAATTTGATTGAAAATATGCACGAGAGCTCAGCACAGGGCGGGAATGTCAGCCTGGTTTTATAAATGACCCTAAATATAAAAAACCTAAACCAACGACTGAAATAACAAATATTGTTATTTCACAGCTGAGTTTATCATGGAATTAACTATTAATAAAATAACAAATGACAACCAGGTCAAATACAAACTAAATTATAGATTTAAGTAAACATTTAAATTAATTCATTATTTACAAATATAGCTTACATCAGTTATAACCCTGATTAAATAAATATTTACTAACCTATTGATTATAAATTCATTATTTATAAATGTTTAAAAAAATTCCTGACACTATACGCCCATTAGCTTAATAAACAATTAATTGATTATGTTAAATTTACGCATTGTGACATTGTTACAGTTTATGTTTGGTAAACAAATTAAATTTTTTGCTATATTTAAATTAGGCCAGAAATAATGTTTTGGTGTATATTTTTGTGCCAAAGCTATAAATACCGTCAAATTTCTGACCATATTCTGTCTCCATCGATATTATAAAAATACCATTCATTCCTGTGTATTGTTATTTACAACGGATTAAAACTGTTGTTATATTTGTTAAAAGTAAAATGTGATTGTAACTAGACGATTAGTTAACTCGATTCGATCATGTTTGTGTATTTAAATATGATTAAAATGCCATTAATTTAATAAAAGTATTATTATAAATAAGTTATATTATTACTTTTTTCAGGATATTAAAATATCAAAATGTTATTAATATAAATTTAAAAATATATAGTACTATATACTTGAAACCTTTAGTTAAAAACAATAGTGATTGGTTATGGCATGTTTATGTCTTACAAGTTTATTTTTTTGAAACCAACAAAAATATAGCATAAAATTACATTAGTATTTATTTGAATAAAAATTATACAATTTAAACTTTGTTATTTATGCGTTTACACAAATACCAAACACTAATTATAATAACGGCGGCGCCGGGAATTTATTATTAAAGCAATGTGCTTGATAATAGTTAAAACATAAAGTTTGGGCAACTACCGTAGGTCAGTAAATGATCAGTAGCCCGAAAATTGTTACTAATCTATTTTTATAGCCTTAAACTACTGTCACATCGCCATTAAATACAAATATCTCGCGGACAGATTGTGCACTTTGTGCGTCAGTATTCCATTTTAACCAGTACAAGCATTACAGTATTTGTTGATTTGACTAGGTTAATTTTGTTGCCATAGATATGCCAAATAAGTCCAAACTTGTCATAATTTTTTTCATGTAATTTTTGGCCATGATGCCAAAATTATAATTTTGTTTATTTTAAAATAAATAAATTATTCTAGTAATTTTGAATATTACATTGTAGTTATAAACATAATTAATTAAAAATTTAAAAAACTTCAAAGCTTTATGGGCCCGTTGATTAAAGTAAACAATTAGTGATCATAACAAATTAATACTTTATGAGATTATTACAGTTTATTTTTGTTTATCTTCATTGCAGTTTGCCTCAATTGTTGTACCAAATTAAATTAATATATGTAAAAATATTTTATTTGTAATAATGAATAAATATTGCATGTGGATACAAAATAATGTTTACAAAACAAAGTTTTAACAAATATCGATTAATGTTTGCTTGTGCTGTCACATTTTTTTAAATGTTTCACCATCATCCTTTTTAGGCCCCAATTGTATTGTATCGGTATTATGATCGAGAGCCCAGTCCTGGACCTTTGCCGATCCAAACACCACATATATAACTGTACCCAAAATATACACTATAATTGTTGTGTAGAAAATAATTGACCAATTGGTTAGCGTATGCTATAATTAACAAAGTTAGTTAATTAACCATTAATTTAGGCAAACATAAAATAGTTAACAAATATTAACCCCGTTGTTAAGAAAATAAGCTGCAAACTGAGGGGCAATAAGTCCGCTAACGCCAGCCATAGAGTTGGTCACCCCATACAGAGTGCCCGCAAAATCTGGTGCCATATCTACGTGAGTGGACTTAAGCGATGAAAAGTGACACCCATTGAGACCCGTGGCCACAATGAACATGGCTATAATCGCGGTGGTATGACACCGGGCGTATATTACGCCCAACAGGAATAATGCCGGTCCCAAATAAGCTTTGTGAATTAATGTTTAAAAATTATATTATTATGTTGTATTTTTAAAAATAAATATAACACATACCAATTGCGTGATTAGTTTTGCGAATAATATTAATATCAAAATTACTTTCCCGTAGATTATCGCTGATGTGAGCGGCAATCCATGCGATCACAGTCTGGGACAGGTATGTTAGCGACGACATGAGTGCTGTCTGTTTATAGTATGAAAATGTTGTTATATGATTTAAACATCATGTTGATAGTAAGAATTACCCTCTTGACACTTAATTTCAATACATTAGCCAAATATATAGGCAAAAGTGCTTCCATTGTATAACTCGTCCAATCATTGCAAATATGAGCGATGGTTAGCGCGTAAAATGGTATGGATGTGAGCATACCTTTCCACGGCATTACACGCCTCTATACAGAAAAATATATTAATTAAATATTTAGAATAATTAAATTAAATAAAATTTATAATTTGATTTACAATAATCATTTAAATTTGTAGTTAATTAAACGAGATGAGTCCTTAATAACAGCCATTTGATAAATAAAATTAATATTTATAAATATATTAGTTGTAAAGTACATTAAGTTTTACAGTCTCTACACATAAATATATAAATTAAATTTATGTAAAAAAACTAAACTACATTTATTATATTATTTTATTTTTATAAATAATTCTAACATTATTCAATTGACACATACCTTATGATTGTCCGGATTCTGGTTCACAACAATATACTCGTATTCATCGACTGTAATGTACGGGTGCTCTTCGGGCGACTCAAACACCAACGCCGACCACAACACAAACCACACGCAACCGGCAATACCCTGTAGGTAGAACACGGCGGGCCAACCGCCCCACAAGTGGCCCTCACACAACACACCGGCCAATTGCGTGGCCACAATCGTACCGACACTACCGCCGGACAATATAATAGCCGTTCCCCGACATCTCTCCCACTCAGGCATCCATTGGCCAATCATTGCGTAAACGGACGGATAGATCACACCATCGCATAGCCCGAGACCAATGCGGGTCACAATGAATAGCCGATAGTCCAGTCGGGCTGCCATTGTGCTTAATAGGGAGAGTAGGGCTGAGATGAGTAGGCTCAGGGCCAGTAGCCATTTGCCCCCATAACGGACCACTACGACACCGGCGGGCAGTTGTGTCAATACGTAGCCATAGCTGAATGCGCTGAGTATAAGCGCTTGTGTGCTGTCGTCCCAGTGGCCAAACTCAGCCCGTGTTGATGGATATGCGTGTGATATGTGGGTATAGTTGAACTGACACGTGTCGGACAGG